CATAGAGATTCAGTACAGCTGGGTGAAGAGGAGTGCCAACTCATTTGCAGATGGGTTGGCCAAGCAAGGAGTGAATAGGGAGGTTGTTTTATGGGCTAGTTTTTAATTTTCTTTGCTTTCCCTGAGTTTTCTGATTTTTGGGGGAGCTAAGTTATTTTATCTCCCTTTGTATTCCTTTCCCTCTATTCTCTTAATTTAATGGAATTGATGTTATTGATCAAAAAAAAAATATATCTGGAATTCTAGATAAACAGAGCAGGAGAAAAACGTCCAACTTTGAGAAATTTCTAGCCTTTCTCCAGGAAAGAGTAGAAGTAAGCATGTGTTGCAAGCCTACAACAGTACATAATAAGGTTAGGGATTCCAAATTGCTAAAAACCTCCTTATGGTTGAAACAACTTATCTTTAGTACTAAAATATTTTCATGCCAAAGTGTAGATTTGGAAATCGAGAAATGCATTGTTCTCTAGAAAAACAAGTGATACCCATACTTATAGAAAAAAAGCAAAGTAGTTTCTCCTCCTAATAATATAGCATAGGTATATAATAAGTAAAAGCTCAAGTCTATTGTTTGGAACCGGTGGTGGTGGTAAATCATAACCATCAGTCTATCACATAATTTTACTAGTGCATAGAGAACTTGGTTACATTTTAGAACATCTCCTACTTCTAAGTTTGCGGTTTGCACATCCAAAGTGTTGATATGCACTCATACATGAACAAGAGGATCTTATATTCACAGACCATATATGCAGACTATACAAAGATCATTGTGGATTTTACGAAAGCACACCAGTGCTAGGAGATTGACCAAACAAAAACCAGCTTGACAAAGTTTGTAGAACTCTTGGACCAAGGTAATAAGAGAATATAAACAATGGATTACAGGCTCAGTAATCTGACCTCAGATCGCACATCAACTGCTGCAGCACCTCGTCTCTGCAGTCCAAGACAGGAAACCAAGAGAATGCAAATCAGGCTAAAACCTAAACAGTTGTTTTGTAGAGTAGAAAACTGATATATCACTTATTCATTACTATGGATGTATACCTGCATGGACTCTTCATGATGAATATTGTTTGATACCTGTATTTTAAGTAATTACATTATGGAAATAGAAATAAATATATAAGAGAAAATTGCATAAGCACATGAACCAAATAGATTTTGTAAGTAAAAATAAAATTAAATTATAAAGCTAGGTCTAGGTGTAGTTCTAAAAGGTTATTTTTTTACTTTTGCTGTTAATTTTGTTCATCAAAATCATATTGTTGAATCTACTACAAAAACCTGTTGACTCACTCAATGACCTGTCAACCTGAATGGTTGAACCATTAACCCGTTTGACTCTTTCAGCCAGATGCTAGATTTTTTGCAGTATTATTTTTTTATTAATTTTTTATATTGATGTCATTGTAGGTTGACCCATTCGCTGGGTAGTTAAACCGCCGACCCATTGACTCAGAAGGGAAAACGGTTCAACTTCTGGACTGGGTTTAGATGTAAATCAGTCCTCTAATATCAAGATTAAACTTGGTGATTAGCAGAATAGAACAGATCTGAATAACTGTATGAGAGAGGAAGATGGCGAAGAGAAGAGGTAAGAGAAGAAGAAGTYRAATYWATCAMCCTTCTCYTCWAACCCTATTTTATTAATCTCTAAAAAATTGATGATGACAAGTATACCCTTAAGTGGGCGGCCAGCTTGGCAGTTACATAAAGAAAATAAAATAAGAACAAATAACAGGCCCATTAAGTGAGGCCCGTCAACATAAAATAAAAGATAAAATAAAGGATATCACACGGAAGGCTGTTAGGGCCCATTCGGCCCAGTCTCTTTACAGGTTTAAAACACTGGTTTTGTTTTCCTTGCTCTAATATTCCACTCAGTGAACAATGTTGTATTCATTATCCAACATCATAGCTCTAATGCCTCAAATCCTGTTTGTGAAATGCAACTCAAGAGAGGGAGAAAATAGGAATTTGAAAGATGTTCCATATGGAATTTTCAATAGCAAGTAGAGGAACGATTGAACAGAAAGGACAAAATGGTCTTCATCAGATGGTTTGGATAAATTATCAGAGTTCAGATAGCGAAGGAGCTTGTTGAGATAAACCAACAGGAAATCAAAGCTGCCCAGTTGCGATAATAGGTTATAACCAGATAGCAGAACCTCCAAGGTCTTCTTCTATGCTCCTACTTAATTTTTCTTCTTGTTAATGAGTTTATTATGGCATGAACTTTTTTCTATGTTTATTTTTTATATTAATTACATAAAATTCTAAGTAACTGTATTATCTATACCCCACTCTTACTCTTTGTTCTAACTTGGCTTGCTCCCCGCTGTCAACCTGAACCATTATTTGGATTTGAATAGAGTGGAAGAGTGGCTCTAGATTATTGCAGGCTTAGGCCCAAATATATAGAGTGGACTAGGCTTAGATTAGATGATCTTTGCACAGATAGCTGAGTCCAGATCCACTAATAAGAAAAATGCTAGAATTGCATGTGAAGACCATCTACCTTTCTTGCTGAAGATCCTCCCAAAGTTTGTATTCCTTTGTGGAAAATGAATTCACTATCAATGACTCCCACCTTCTTTGTCCGATCACCCTATAAACACAGTGCATACCGATGAATATTGGACAAAATTATGCTTCTCAATCTGTTTGGGGGTAAAAGAAAAGGAACTTGAAAAAATAAGCAGCATGAAAACAATTTAGATGCTCATATTAACAGAAGCTGAATAAATAGAACAGATCTCTAATAGCCGACAAAAATATGAGTACATAAATATATACCATATTCTTGGGTTTATTTGTTTGTGAGTATGAGTGCATATATGCAAGCCTTGATGCATCTAAATAATCAGAAATATTCCAAATGGTCCATTTTTTTTCTTTTTTTGCTTTTGATTAGAACTACCAATGAATGAGACTTATTCAAATGTGCAAGAAAAGGGTGAAACCCTTTTTTATTTTGTCTTTTGGCATGTGTGTGTGACTCCAATACAAGTCAGCCCTACCAGCTCTTTCTCTTGATAAAGCATTCTGTAGAGCATTGGCAGATCTAGGGATCCACCTGGATGTGCTTTCATCCTAGCGATTACATTTTGTACCCAAATCTGACAATCTAGTTTCTATCCTAATGTAAGACATCATAAGAACCATCTTCACATTCACATGTATGAAATGACATGGAAGAACTAGCTTCCAGTGTCAACAAGATTATAAAAGCACTAATAGTTCTAAGAATAACAAGGAATCTAGGGACCCTTTGAAGGAATGGCAGTACAGAATAAATAATGTTGTTATTATGTTTTTTCAATATGAACGAAAGGAGACATAATTAGTGCAAAATTTAGCTGACAGTAGAATAAATACGAAGATGTCCCCAAAAAATGTTGTGTTGGCCCATAATCTTAAGATTAATTTGTAAAAATTGTTCTAAACTCATAAAAAGAAGAAATGAAAGAAAACAAAATGCAAGGAATATGGATTAGATGATCAAGATTAAGCTGGAAGAAGTTGATAACATATAAAAAACAGAGTAAAAAGTAGGAAAGCAAAGGATAAAACTCATGGATATGACATCCAAGGACCATGCAGTGTTTCTGCTTCTTGTATGTAAAGTAAATCTACCTGGGCACAATAACCAAGTTTCATATCCATTCCCCATCCGTGAACAAGATCATTCTGCACAGACCCGAACAGCATAAACATAATAACATGTAGCAGCAACTCTGCAATGAAATCTAAAAAAAATGCAAACTTTTTCTCTGTTGTGCTAGTTAATGCAATACTCATTTTTACACAAGAATCAAAACTGCATTTAAAATGCACAACATTATCAAGTCTGAGTGCCTGACAGATAATTTTGATCATTTTCTCTTAATGAAGTTTATCAGCCATGTTATTACTCTAACAACTTAGATTCTAATAGATTTTCTAACAGCTACATGTTCTTCCTGCTTGATCTGTCGAGACTGACAAATTTCTGGTAAGCATAAGTTGGACCATGATAAGCCTTGATAAAATCTGATTTAGTTTCACCACCAAGAGCGGAATAGTTGCATCTTGCATGTGTACCTCTTCATGCAATACTCAGATACAAAGGTGCATGGGAGGGATGTTATGAATTGATTCAATTAGCATCATGTATTGTTGCATTTGCAGGAACTACATCAATCCACATGTAAACTATTTCATGTTAATATTATCTAGGAAAGGTGATTATTTTAATATTTTTGTAATATAAACTTACTTTGGCATGGAATATGTGGCAAAAGTTATTACATATTTTGTACTATTGAGAAGCATGAATTAATATTTAGGAACACCACTTGGAATAAACATTCATTTTCAAATCAGATATTTAATCAAAATGGAAGTAAATTATCAGAAATTCTCAAACTTTTGACATGATTTTTATGTTCAAAATCATCATCATCCTAATTGTTATTGTTACTCTTGTGTCACTTTTAAAGGCTAATTGAACTGAATAGAGCCTTTTAAGAACTATTTAGGGATGGCTATACTAATTCTCTTCATACCAAGGATAATATTCTCTGTTTGCAGTGACTCTTATACCCCTTTTCATTATACTTCAACAACATTCTCTTTGGCCTCTCATTAGCTCTTCTGAAACCCTCAACTTGCATCAGATCACTCCTTAAAAGTTAAAACTGCTATGTCAAAATTTTGTCATATTAATGGAACATACATTGAGCATATGAATTTGAGGAAGGCAACACTAAACAGATTTCTATCATATTGAGGATAATGTGATTGTATTCTGGGCAATATTTTCAAATTCAGAGATAAGTGTTTTATGATTAATTAATTAATGAAAATGGAAGTCACTCAAACAAAATCAATTACCATAGCAACGGTTGGGTATTAGAAGTTTGGGCTGATAAGGTTTTTTCTTTTTTTCTTTTTTTTTATGGGGCTACACAACTGGGGGGAGGAAGTGCCCATCCCCCAAACCCATAACCCCCCAACCTGAATTAGGTGGGACTCAATCCCAAGTCTCCACTATAAACAGCCAGGGACCTTACAAACTGAGCCACCGGGCACCTTCCTGAGAGATTGATTTTTTTTAATCAATAACTTCAGAATTTTATTGATAACAGCCATAACAGGTTAATGTTTAGCCAACCCCAAAATAGGACTTTAATCAGGAAAATTGAATAGGGTTTCCAAGAAGACCATGAAAAGAATAAAAGTAAGTCCAGTGCTACTTTATCAATTGTGGTACAAGGATGTATAAACAATGAGGGCTGCCTCTTGTTAGGCTGATACTACCTAACCCCTTCCCAAATTCATATGGCTAGCAGATGCTGTCTTTGCGAGGAGCAGGACAATGTCAGGCACATTTTCATAACCTGCAAGTTTGCTGGTTTCTTATGGAAAGTGTTCACAGCCATGTTCGAGGTTTCTGGTTTTCATCCAACCTCAACTGAAGAGATTCTCTTCATGGCCCAGGCTGTGGAAGTAAGAAGGCGAAGGTGATATGGAGCTGCATTCCATTCACTGTGTGCTGGAACACATGGAAGGAGAGGAACAAAAAGAATGTTCGAAGACAAAGCTTGCAGTATGGATAGGATGGTAGCTGTGGTAGCAGATTAGTGGCAGATTGGGTGCTGATTCTTCCAGATTTCAGGCACATAGATAAGGAGGATCCGGGGAATAAGGGGAGGTATTGGGTTTTCAAATATGTAATGTGGAAGGCTTACTTTGATCTCAGTTTGTTTTGTTACTGGTGATGACTTGCCACCCTTAAAATTGTAATCCCTTTTTTTCTTTAATGAAATTTTCTCTTTACTTATCAAAAAAAAAAAAAGAAGAAGAAGAAAAAGAAGACTGCCTCTTGTTAGGCTGATACCACCTAACCCCTTCCCATTACAGCTAATTTTCACAATCTCCATTTGGTACCCCCTCCCCTCCCCCCCAAATGGTTGTTCCCTATTAATGAGTTAGAGTGTTAGCTGATCTTGGCACCCAATTAATTGTTGTTCCCAAGGTCCTTGTCAGGCTGCTAATCTCTCTTAGGCTGTGTTTGGTTTGAAGGAAAAAGTAGGGAAAAGAAGGGAAAAGTGGGAAAACCCTTACAAACCTTGTATAGATTTCCCTACTTTTCCCTTTCTTTCCCTACCTTGTCCTTCAAACCAAACATAGCCTTAAGGTGTGCCTGTATTCTGTAATGTCACGTGACTTGACAATTTTTCCCTAACCACCACATCACATTTTAAGAATCACCTTTCACTGCTTTGTTCCTCAATTATAGCCTTTTACTCAACCTTAGGCTTTTTTTCAAAGCCTATGGGGCCTGAATTTAAAGCCATCACAGCCCCATGGCTGTCTCTAAGAAGAAGAAAAGATTACTGTCAACAAACATTAAGCTGACTACTCCAGAGAGAATAAGAAATCCCTATATATATATATAGACAAAAGATAACTAATATATTCAAAAGAGGCAAAAAAAAGGGGGGGATGTACATGAGAATAAGAAATCCCTTAATTGGCCACTGGTTGGCTCATTTAAATGGTTTGTGGATATACAAAATTCTAGTTCACCCCAGTGAAGTTTGATATCATAGCTTAGCCCTTGTACAAATATGGAATTACTAGTCTCCTCTATCAGTTAAAACTCCAACATGAAGAAGACATGAATGGGACAAAGTAGTTTACCTGGATAAGATTCCAAACACAACGCCAAGCATATCTTGAAAATACCGGAGCCATCCCCTCAACCCATCTGTAAATTTAGTACACTAATACTTAAGTTTTCCAGCTATCATTTTATAGCAGGAGAAAGATAAGATGAATATATCTAATCATAACAGTTAATCAAATCAATCTAACAAATAAAATAAATGTAAAGGAAAAACAGGATTCAAGTAGGTGGCTCCATATAGTTGAGACAAGGTTTAGATGTTGATGAAAGGGTAACATCTAAATAGAAGCCAAAAGTATACCCAGTGCATGGTGGTCCCTCACTGGCATCTGAACATTTGACACTTCCTCGACTATCATATACTCTTCTGCAAAGAATAATTGACAACTTTGTACTTTATCAATATGCTTTTGAAGAATGGACGACAATGATGATGATGGTAACTCATACTGTCAAAGGCATGCCATTCACCTGTGGACAATCTTGGATCTTTTGCGGATGGTAATTCTGTGATGTATATCTGAAGAATTTGGGTCCAAAGCTGGCTGAGATATCTCCAGATTCTCAGATTTCATAATTTTCAAGTATCTACATTAAGAAAATACCCAAGTTGGACCAATAACATAATTCCAAAAAGGCAAAAACCAAAGGAAACAATAACCTCAAACAAAAAGCATTTAAGTTCCTCACCTTGCTAGACACAATTAAATTCCTAACCTTAGCATGTATATATCTTGCTTTCTTCTTCAGTTAATCTTGGGTTAATTCTAAAAGAAAAGCAGCTAGAACAATGATTATATTATTTTTAGGCTTTTGTTTAGGAAGATTCTTGTCAGCTTCTTCCCATACAGAATCTAGATCCTGACTATTGTTTAAGCAAGTTGTTCTTTAGAATGCCTATATTGACCAATGAACAGGTGGATGACTAGGCTAAAAGCAATGGTTGGGAAAGACTATTATGAGTTGGCTACGGGAGTCATAGTATCTATTTTGTATGCATATCCACCTAAGCATAATTCTTTCTTCCTTTTTCCATTATTTTTTGAGGGGACATGGATCAGTGGATGTTGCTAAACAGTCACTTTGATGTCAAGCTATTTCTCCATATGCAAGCTGCTAGTACAGAGCAATTTTTAGCTCATTTAATTTCTTGTATCTACTATTTACTTTTTTATGTAACAATTTCTCCATTATTAAAAACACTAAAACATGGGATAAGTGAACCCTTTCAAGTTAAACCCATCTGGCACACATAACAAAACATATAAGCCGAAAAAAAAAAACAACTATAGGACTTTGGAATAAGTTAAACACTTTGAACTTGTCCACATTAAATGCAAATAAAGAAGAACAGAGCAGGATCATTCCCTCTGATCAATTGTGTGTGGGCATGGAGTTGTCACATACAAGAGGACTATATCAGATAGTGAATGTTGCAAAACTCTTTGAAAAATGAAGACTTTCACTCACGATCTCAGCCTATCCAAACTTTTTTTTAAGTTCGCAAGACTAGACTGTGCAGTAAATGTTATATACAGTACTTTTAAGGCATATTTACAGTTTTTATAAAGTGCATCAATATCTTAAATTTAGAATACATCTTTTTCCATTAACTAGTCACCACATTGACTGGGGAAGCCAAAACAATTACTCATTGCCTCACTGCATGGATAAAAATGGTCAAGGGGATCCAGAATATATAATCATCTGGAGAGTTGAGAACTTGCTCTATTTTTGGTCCTCTATTTTTAAAGAATTGATCAGAAAGGAGCCTGATTCTGGTGTTCCTGATTTAACTGGGCAGTTCAACTCTCTGGCTTGTTGTAGCAGAGACTTGGGATCAAATCCCACTACCACCACGGTTGGGGGCTTATGGGTATGGGGGATGGGATACCCCCCCCCCTCCAATTTGGATAGGCTGAAAGAAAAAGGTAATTTTTTGGGGGCAAAAAAAAAAGAATAAAGGATCTGCTCTGGTCAAACCAGGTTCAACGATTGCCATTCTGATTTTCAAAACATTGCTACAAACATGATCCCTGCTTGCCAAGAATATAATAAATATTTGAACAAATAACCACATATGATGCAATTTATTAAACATCATGTGCAACTCATTGTAAACGAATAAAACAAAACATAAAATGCATATACCCTGCAATTTTACTCAAATTTGCACGGCCACACGCCAAACTAAAGGCCTTTAATGCTTATTCACACTTCAAAAGGAACTAACTAACAAACATCATGGAAAATCTTGATATGTACCTTCCTGGGTGGAAATTTTCAACTCCCAAATCTTCATCCCAAAGAAATATATAATCATAAATAGAAACAACATCTGGATGCAAAAATCGTTTGGCAAACCACCTGAGATAAAAATATTGGATAAGATTAGGTCATTTACTGTGACTAGAACAAGTAGGGGGATCCTAAGGAAAGAATCCACTTGAGAGTTCTTCTAAGAGAAAATATGGAAAATGAAGTACTGAATCGTCATATCTCAAATGGGATCCCACCTCAAAAGTCTACACCCACACAAATTCCAAAAGAATGTGATAGACTTTGTGTGTGTATTTTACATCTATCTAAAATTCCAAAAAACAACATCAGCCTGTCATGTCAATCAAGGCTTTAGTATTGAATTCAATTGATATATCTAAAAGCACATTTAGTTATCATGAGCTTATCACAAAATATCCAAGGATCCTATTATTCATTTTTATTCTTACTCCAAAAACATGCAATTTTCACAAGTCATTCATAATTCAAAATAGAATCTGAAGCAGATATTTCACAGCCATACCATTTTGTTTGGTTCTGAGCAACTATGTGTATGGCCTTGTTACTCCACTCTAAATCCCGCCAACCATCAACGTTCCCATCATAGTGGAAAAGGATAATAGTAAAGTTCTCTGAAATAAACTGAAATTCGATGAAATTAGACAAGCAACATTATACTCCTAATACATGTAAAATGCACATAAACAACAGTACCTTTTGAACAATTGCATCAACATTTTGCTTCTGCTTAATACCAGCTGGAATTGCTAGTAAGCTCTTGTTCTTTGGAACTTTCACCTGGGAAAACAAATCTTCAGCATATTATTTATAGCTTAATTCTTGCAGTTTGCATTAGCAGGCCATCTCTATTATATAGTTAAAATCTATGGAAACTTGGCTAAAGGGACAAAGAACCAATCAACCAGCTCATAAACATCAAACATGAGTAGCTGGGCCAACCATCTATGGGTTACATCCAATAATATATCTGATCATATCATATGATAAGAACAACAAGCCATTCTATTCTATAGCATTGGACCAAGGGGCAAAAAGAGAAGGAAATATCCAAATGGTCCAGGGTGAAAGTCTGACAAACAAGCTTTTGTTACAACCATATGATTAGGTCATACCCACTTCAGGAAACAAAACTTTAGATAAAACAGCAAATCATATTAAGATCAGTATCTAACCTTCAACCTTGAGCTACTTGTCAACCATAATGGCTTCATTTCCATGTCAGAGCTTGACTGTACAATACCACGAGGTAGATAATTCATTTTCATGGAAGCCACCTGAGGTTCCTACAGAGAAACAGAAATCAATTAACAAAACAAGGTAAAAAGAAAGTAGACTACAAATTGAAAGGAGACATTTCAAGAAGTTCAGTCAGGAGCATATGGGCTGAATGGTGATCAATAGTCATGTAATAGCAGGGTAAGATGATTTTAGTTGTTTAGCACCAAACAAGCCAATAAGGGGGAAATGAAAGATAAATAAATAAATAAATACCAGTTTTGGTGTGAGATGCAAGGATTTAAATGATTACCTTTATATTGCCAAAGGGATGTAATCTATCTTCCATCTGACAGTCACATAAAAATCCATCAGTAAGCTTACCATAAAAAAATACAGGAAGAACGTGAGTTAAAAAGGAAAAGAAAAGTCTTTCAAAATACAAACAATTGAAGACAGATGACATCAAGGTGCCTGTTGGGAAACCATGAGAATGATTGATCAACAGATAAAACAGAAAGCAAGCCAGCATAAATTTCCTATGAATTAAACATGAGGCTTTCTAGGCTAAATAGGGGCAACTGCTTGGTGCAATGCTAAATTCTCAGACTTGGACTGGCAAATGTGAGAACACAGTTCAAGTCCGGGAGAGGCCACCGTACAAAAAATAATGCCAAAAGTTAGGTCTGTATCCATTTTTAACCCCTCCCAAGACCCTGGACAGCTGGAACCATAATTGGGTAATGGCATCAAGTTATCTAGGATAAATATCAAACAAGTGGGATCGCAATATATATCATAAATATCAAATTGGAACATTATATTCATCCAACTCTTTCTGTTCTCCAATCTTTTTAAAGAGGATTAACAATTTATTTAATTAATTGCCTGAAGATGCCATCAGCAATATAATATGGAAATTCATCTTTGCCACAGGCAACAATTGAGGGGGTATACACAATCAACAGACCATCCTGGCATACCATCTGGGCTGGCCCTAGATTATCTCACTTTAGAAGATGTCATTTTTAATGAATTGATTGCATTGACGTACCTCTGTATGCTGAAACTGATAATTTGTCATCCTATACACAATGAACAACATAACCATGCAGACCATTCCCATAAAAGGCAGCTGTTTCATCTTAAAGCCATGTGTTCCCTGCACTCCCCATCATATAATTAGATATTATATAAAGTAATCAATTCCAAATACTCTATACTGATTAAGAAAAAGAAGTATATGAGGTCAATCATTTAAAATTCAGAGTTTGCTTCCAAACCCAGAAAACACAGGTTTAGCAGAAAGGAAAAAGAATAGGGTAAATATTTTTAATGGTAAGAATAAACTATAAATCTTACCCCATCAAAAACATTTTTGATTCTTGACAGCCATCTCCATGATTTTACTGCCTTCATAGGCAACCAAGATTTTATTCAATTTCATACATTCTGTGCTTCAGAACATAAAAAACAGACATCATGTATAATTCTAATAAATTAATAATGACTCAAATATGGCAAAAATTCCACATTCCACTATAAGATTCAAACATCAAGCATGCCCTGTAAGGAGAAAGAACATTTACAGAAAGATATTGTTACTGATCAGTAAATAAATTAACAAACATATAAATATGGCAAGGAACCAGTTCGTCTCTAGTATGTAACTAGCTGGTTTTAAGAAAACTCTACTCAATCACCCCATCAACCAATCTACAACATTGATAAGTATAAAAAAGGGAAAGAACGTCAAGAACATTAATTATATTCTGTTAACCCATATATGAAACAAATATGAACTAAAGAAGCCATCGAAGATGATTTTTCCACCCTTGGGCTAATGATTTCAAAATTAAAAAGAAAAAGAAATAAAATAAGTAAAAGAAAAAGATTGGGTATGAGAATGTCCACATTCTGTGCCAAAAATAGTTGACTATGAAATCCAAACAACTCATGAGAGGAGTTAGTCTTGCGATGAAACATGGCTCAGAATGATAAGAACAAAAGCAAAACATCCATGAGATAGATGACAAAAGGTCATCCGAAAAACGAAAGGATTCAGAGTTTTGCTTTTTTTTTTTTTTTGCTGCAACTTGCTTCTTATTTTGAATGTTTAAAAGAAAAAACATTTTCCAGAAATGAGAGTATGGCGGATAAAAATTAAAGGCAAAAAGAAACGAGCGGAAAAAAAGAAAGAAGAAAAAAAAAAAGCAAATTGTAACTAAATGAGCTGTCTACAGCACCAAAGCTAATAAGCATAAACGATGAGTTAAACACTTACAAAGTAAACAAAGATTCTAGCTGTGAAACCAAAAAAAGGCAGAACAATCATAAACGACCCACACATTACTTGGAGTTGCATCAACAGTGTTTGTTGCTGTTATTCCTTCTGCCCCTTCTATTTTCTCTGGCAAGTGACAACAGAGAAAGGAACGAAACGGAAGAAAACTGTACTAACAAAAATCTCACGGCTCTAGGTCATTTGGGAATTGGGAACGTTTCGTTGGATAGTCTGACCTCCTGGTCTTCCGAAGGAAACCGGATTCAGTCAGTTCAAAGCCCATTCGAACAGAACCTTGCATTGGGAATATCTCCCCATGAAATAAAATAGAAGTATGAAGATGCTCCCAATGCAAGGTTATGATGGCTGTTCGAACAGTGTTCTAATGGGCTTTGAACTGACTGAAGCCGATCTCCGAAGGAAGAACAATTTCTATTCCGAAACAGAAACGTTCCAGTAAAACAATCACCAAACGGTCCAACCCCATTCAAATTACCGGAATACCCCTTATACAGTCGAACCTACTTGTCCAACTTCTTAAAAATGAACTAATGAAGTTAAATAAAACACTATCATCTTACTGAGCGTTTTTTCCACATAATCATCTTACTGGAGAAAAAAATACAGGATGTAAATGAAAGCAGTTAGATGCCCGATAATCACGGAAGAGAATACAATACAATTTGGTATTCCTTACTTACCTCCTCTACCTGCTTGAATTTCGTCGGGACTAGAAACAGAAAAATTCCGACCACAGATTCCAAATTTCCCGCCAGAAAAAATGAACAATGATCTTCTCCGTCAAATAAAACACGTAAAATCTTCCCAGAATATTGAACTTCCTCCCAAAAAAAGATATTTCTGTTAACGAAGAAACGGTCTAAAGCCACGCCGGAGTTTTCTTCTTCTCCTTCTCCTTTTACCTCAGAATGATCAACTACTTTACGTATAATGAGCAGCTCCCTTGGAGAGGTAAAATAGAAAGGGCAAAAGTTACATTACCCCTCCATTACTTAAAACCAAAATAGCACCCCTTTCAACTGTATAATCAGCGAACGCTAAGCGAAAACAGAGCAATCTCAGCGAAGAAACGATCTTCTCTAATCTATCCTGAGATCTGCTAACGTAAACCTCTCTTGCTTGATTCGGCTAGAGAAAGAAAAAGCTTGAAAGCCACTCAGGAACCTTTCTTTTCTTTAGACCTCAATATAATTCGAGCTTATTTACCACAAAGTATAAATCTATTTCTCGATAGAAAACAAGATCTTCGACTGATGCATTCACCCGAGAAGGCAGAAGCTCACCAAAAATGACATTCCCAATGGTCTGTGAAGTGAATCCAAACAAAATTTCAGAATTTCATAGCAAAAGTCCGGTGCATTACCCAAAGGCAAATGGGAGAACAGACAAGAACTCGCCTGAAAACGAGAAAAGGGTAAGCTCGAGAATCACGAAACTTGGAGAATTTAAATCACGAACTTTGTTTTGTTTCTTCGAAAGAAAAAAGGATGGAAAAGGATGGAGATCCAAAATTGGATGAAGCTCAGAGACCAGTAGGATGCATATATCTCAGATTTGAATTGGATCAGACCGCTACCTCTAAAGAAGCAGAAGGAGAACAGAGAGAAATGAAAGAAAACAGTTCAACAGAAAAAGAACCAGAGCAATAAGAGAAGAAGAAGAAGACAGGAGAGGTGGGAGAAATTATTAAGGGAAAAAGGTCGACACACGTAAGTATCGGAAGCGCCACGTTTCAAGGGAAAAGAGAAACTGCATCTGCATCGAATGCAAAAATTCCCGCCGATGAGCAACTCTGATTTTAATTTCGGACGTCCTGTAACGTGCCCTCCTCTCAGTCTCTCTCTCTCTCTCAACTCACAGTCACCGGGGGCCAAGGCGACAAACAACTGAGCTCCTCCGACTCCGTTTCTGCTGCTTTATAGTATCATTAATTAATTATCTCTTTTTTTCTAATAAACCTTTAATTATCGCCTTTAATTGTTAATTCTTAGTAAAATTAAATAAAATTCCAAAAGTTCCCAAAACCTTACGCATTCATGGTTGAACCTCAAATCCATGACCTACACGTGTTGCCGATCCATAGGACATACGAATCAGATGCTCCTTTGTGCATTGAATCAGACACGTTAATATTTAATTGGTCGCCTCGCCGATCTTGATAGAATGAGAGAGCAGGAAAGTGCAGCAGATTCCGAAAATCAGCAATTATAAGTGGAATTAAATAATCCAAAATCATGATTAATGATTACGAGTTTACGACCTTAAGGGATGAGAACACGAAACTCGTAGACCATGCTCAGCGATGGACCAGGGTCTGATCACACACGTGTTCACATGCATACGATTCAGGATCTAATAATCCTCACAGCTGTCTTATAAATTTGTTTTAAAACTTGTTAAGGTAAGCTAGAGATATTCGAGTGAGGGACCAATGTCATGTCAGACTTACATATTTATTCAATGTAGGACCCACAGAGCAAGATCGGTCCCCACACCGTCTCACATTCTTTTGCAGCCGTTCATCGAAAATAATCTTTCATCTTCCAAAGAATTTCCAAGCGATGTTGCTTCTGCGTCTTCGACGAGATCGGCTTCGGTCAGTGCAAATGTTCGAACAGCTTTACAGCCGTGCATCGGAAATATCTTCGTATTCTGTATTTTATTTGAGATATTTTCAATGCAAGGCTATAATGACTATTCGAACGAGCTTTGCACCGACTGGATCCGATTTAATCTTCGACCAAAGAATAGTTAAAACAGAGCAAAGAAAAATTATATTGCAAGTAATTCAAGTTCAAGATTCAAGAGGAACCCTATTTATTTTCTACCAAACAATACTGAAGAGTGAAAAAACTTATGTTGGCCAGATCTGATAGACTGAGACGCATAAAAACAAGTGTAGATGCTTGCTTGTAATGATAATAGAAGTAAACAAATCAGAGTAAGAGAAAAGAATCACAGAGTAAGAGAAGAGTCGTGGGAAGTTGGCATTTGGCAGGATTAAACAAATTGAATTCGTAAGTCTATTCCAAACAGCGTCATCACAACCATCTACAATAATTTCTTATCTCCCACCGACACGACAAATGATGTAAATGCATATAGTAGTAAGTATGGCCAACCGATGCTTATGGATGACCTTGTACTTTTTTAAGTATTTTCATTGAATGAATATGATTTTGACTTTATTGTTTGGGATTCGTGTGATGCATTAGATTTGTTAAAATAATTTCAGGCAACAGAGTTATGGCACAAGTTAGGTATATCTAATTCAAGCTCGATCTGATTCAATCAAAGTTTTTGTATAGGTTGAGTTTGAGATTTTGAATTCTAAGATGAGCTTGAATAAAATAAAATAAATAAATAAATAAATAAATAAAACTCAGGTCTAAATTAAACTCAGATAAGCTTAGGTTGAGACACTGGGTACTGACAATCCAATGTAATTTAAGTTTGTCCAATATTTCATGGTATCAACATATTCTATTTAGAAATTGAGCTACAAAACTCAATATGCTCAAGCCCAAGCCTACCCTGAGCAAGGATGACAATAGAATGGCTTTGAGGGAGGGTTTTATAAATTCTGGACTCTACCCACTAAGTGGGTTAGAATTTGAGAATCCAAACCCTCCACACACATGAAAATGCAAAACACTCCCCGTATTCAAGGGTAGGGGTGGGTTGGGTTTAAAACCCACATTTGATTTTCTATTATTTCTTGTTATATAAAAGCAATAAATAAGTAAAATAACATAAATAAACAACAAAATTTCCAATTATTTAATTAAGATATAAAAGAACACATAAATTATCAATTATCTTTTACATCTAATTCAAAATATTATTAAGTTCAACACCTAGTACATAAAGTTTATATGCTTTCCAACAATATGTAGGTTGAGGGTCGGGTTTAGCATAAAACCGTATCCTACCCATAATGTACGGGTTGTAAAATCCCAAAACTCATTCTTCAAAAAAAAAAACGCCCCATCGATGTGGATAGGGGTGGATACCCACTAGATAGGGTAGAAATTGTCATTCCTAAGCCCGAGATGCTTAGTTAAGATTGAGTTCGGCCTAGGTTGGTAATTAAACTCAGGCTTAATCGTGAATTGGACCAAGTTTGATCTTGAGATTTGAGACATAGGATTAGATTGACCATCAACCCGACACAATCCACTCAAGTTGCACTTAGCAGGGACCCATGCGATGCACGGGCTTTGTTAAGCAAAAGTTAAACAATAAAAGCACATAAGAGTGGACAATTGTTTTATATTTTAACCTTTTAAATAACTAACAATTAGTTATATTTTCTATACTATTTTTAATCATTTTTTACAATACAAAAATAATAATAATAATAATAATAATAATAATAATAATAATAATAATAATAATAATAATAATAACAATAATAATTAATTTCAACTAGGTTGTTCATTAAATTAGTGAAACTAACCAACACGACCCAACTCAACTCTAGTTGATCAGTTTTCTATTATTTCCGGTGGGTTTTGGTTTAGCAATTTCCCAACATAACCAGGTCGGGTCAATTTCGATTTGGCCATGTGTAAATCGACAAAAACTAAACCAACCCAACCATATATATATTCTTATTATCAAATATTATTAAATCTATTATAATTATTTTTGTGTTTTTGATAAAATTTTTAAGATTATTATGTAATTTCTTTATTTAATATATTTTATTTGTTTATTAAATAATATTTAAAATATTATTTAGTTATTAAATTTTTGAATATTTAAAATTAGTTATTTATAATATTATTTATCTATGTAAATCATATAATTATTTAGTTATTTCAATATTACTTATTTTCTGAATTTCATAATCCATAAAATTATAAGTTATATTATTATTACATAATTTCACTATTAATTTTGTAAAATATGAAATTATTATTAATTCAAATATTATGAAATCTGTTATAACGATTTTCTACTTTTGATAAATTTTTTAAGTTTATTACATAATTTTGTTATTTCAACTATTTAAATTTAGTTATGTTAAATATTTAGTTATTTAAACATTTAAATAAAATGTAAAAAATTTAAAATTTTCATTATTTAAATTTTATTTATTTTAAAGTTATTACATAATATTAAATATTTTATTATATAATATTTATCTATTTTTAATATTTTTCATTTATAATATTTAGTTATTGAAATTTTTAAATAATATTTTTTAATTTTAAATTTGTATTATTTGAATACTTTGTAAAATTATAATTTGTATTGTTAGTACATAATTTCGTTATTAATTTCCTAAAAGTGTAAAATTATTAATAATATGAATATTATATAATTTCATTATAATATTTAAATAATTTATAATTTTTTTAATTCGAACTTTCTTTTGATAGATATAGATGAAAAGTGTGGGATAAGATAAATAGGAATTAGATATAATATAGGAGAAACTCTCTACTAATTTAGAGATAATTAGGACTTATATATAATTTAGGAGATGAATAAGAATTATAGATAATTTAGGCTATGTTTGATTTGAAGGAAAATGTAGGGAAAGGTAGGGAAACCTTTACAAACCTTGTATTGGTTTCCCTCTCTTTCCCTTCCTTTCCCTACCTTTTCCTTCAAACCAAACACAGTCTTAGGAGAAAGTGGGGGATAATGGTGTCACTTGGTTGATTAGACTAGATTTTGGTAGAGAGAAATTTTAGAAATAGTTTTAGGAAGGGATATCCAAAGGTAGTTCAGATCAGGTAGGCACGAAGTAGGGGTGTCAATTGGATTGGATTTGGTCCAATCCGAACCAGTACAATGTGAGTCTATTATAAATGGACTAGGTCCAATCCAATCCAATGAATGTTTTGGACCAATTTGGACTAGTCCAATTCAATGTTTGGACCGTCCAATTTGTTCAAGTTCATTTTGATTTTGATGGCTTCAATCCAAACCCGGTCCATTGACACATATATTCTTATCTTATATCAATGGACCAGATATTGGCTTAATCCAATCCAATCCAATCTAATAAATATTTTGGACCAGATTGGTCGAATCCAATATGTCTTGTTGGTCTGTCCAAATTGATTTTGGATTGGATGGGGTTCAATCCGAAACCAGTCCATTGATACCTTTAGGGACGTGTAAAAAAAAAAATTTAAGTGCTCATTGAATGTGCTTCCAACTTTGGAGACTAGATCTGCTCCACACACATGGCACTTCACACCGACCTCACAGGCACATTCCACTGTGCATTAGGAACATCTTCTATACTTATGTGTTATTATTTACGGGAGATATTCCTAATGCACGGTGAGATGTGCCTGTGAGATCATTGTGAAGCGCCCTATGTGAGGAGCAGATCCCAATTCCCAACCTTGTGCCTACCTAATCCGGACCAGAACTCGGCCATATATAGAAATAAAATTAGGTGCCTCTCAGTATTTTAATGTCCAACGGTGTCATATGGTAATTCATTCTAATGCCAAGGTATTTTATGGTTGACCACCTCTTGGCAAGAGGAGACTTCATTGATTCGAAATCATTTTGACTTCAAATAGAGCATTTGCCTATTGAAAAGAGATTAAAGAGGCATCCTCTTGTATGGTTAACAATAACAGAAAACTCTTAACTCACGTTGAGTGGCTCAGACCCAAACATACTGCATCAAGATTAATTTTGATGCTTCTTGCTTGAATTTTGGTAATTGTGCCATTAGATGTATAGCTAGGAACCATCAAGGCAAAGTCCTGGAGTCTAAAGCTATTGGAATTGGAATATCGGTTATCAACCTCGCAAAAACTTGGGCAGTTTGGGAGACCATTAATATTGCTATTAACTACAGGGATCAGAAAATCGTCATTGAAGGTGATTCGAAGTTAATAATCGACTACCTCAATGGTAA